TAGTAGAGACGGGGTCTCGCTCTTGCTCAGGCTGGTCTCGAACTCCTGAGCTCAAACAATCCGCCTGCTTCGGCCTCCCAAAGAGCTAGGATTACAGGCGTGAGCCACCACGCCGGCCAGCAAACAGCTTTTGATATGCAAACTAACACGTTCACATATTCCTTCAGGGCAAAGCTCTGCAAAACTCCTGAGACACATCCTATCTCCAAATACAGTTATATTAATTCATAGAGCAACATCCCCCCAGAAGGGGCAGGGTCCCCTTACCTACGGACATCAGGGAGCCCAGCCAGAAATGTTGACTGAGCTGGGTCTGAGTGCTTTGGGGCCACAGCATGGAGAAGGCCCCTGCGCTGGTAGAACCACACTGTAGGCTGCTCACACGTCACCTGGGGAAATAGGCAGCCTCAACTCCCTGAGCTGAGACCCAAGGGGAGGGGAGTCTGTGCAGGAAAGATCCAAGGCGCCTCTGGGCTGCAGGGAAGTGAGCGGGTGACAGCAGCTTGAGAGGCAGGCAGGGCCTAGAGGGAGCCCAGTTGCATTTAACCAAGATTTCAAATGCAGCAGAGAGGAGGCCAATGGCAGGGGACCAGCACAGACCAGGGCCACTGGGGCTGGTACCTTTGCCTGCCCCTGCAGTAATGAGGGTAAAGGGGCAGAGACGTGGGTGGGTCCCCGAGCAGAGGCAGAACACATGGGGTGTAGCCTTGTGCTCCACCTCTCCCCAGCAACCAGGATGCTTGGCCAGTGCTGCACAGAACCCCAGGAGGTGGCTGGGTGTGCACATCAGAGGAGTGTGTGGGGACTCCAGATCACCATGTCCCGCTCACAGCCAAAGTTTTGGCAATCAGCCAAAGTCACAGCCAGCCTCCACCATCGGGCACAGTCTCAAGCCTCTGATCCTCATGGACTGTACCTAGGGGGGACGATGGCTTCAAACATAAGAGCAAGGGAGCAGAAGGTGAGGTGGTGACCATACCTGGGGCAGGGCTTGGCCAACTTCCAACCCTGCCCTCACTGCTGTGGGGCTGGGGATAGCTGTTCTGCCCCCTGTAGGAAAGGCCTCCAGACAGCTGCCCTTCACCCCCCCAAACTCCTTGAAGCTCCCCTTACACATTTCTGCACAGGCAGAGACCCCCTGGGTTTTCCCATGTCCCTGTGTAGGTGATGAATGGTAATCAGAGCTTTAGTACCCAAAAAAGCCAGTAATTCCTGACACATGGGTCTGTCTCCTTTCAGCCGACAAAGAGAATTCTGGTTTTTGGGTTGTGTCCCTCTCAACATAGCAAGCACAATCTTGGTTGAGGATGTAGAAGCGGTATTTTCCTTTATTTTTATTTGGTCCTAGGTAAGGGGCACAGAATAAGGGTGTCCCTGAAGACCTGAGAACAGGGACAGAGACACAGGCACAGTGGAGAACTGGCTTGAAAAGACAATGGCAGGACCACAGAGAACACTCGGGTTCATGGATAAACAGCGAGGCCAAAAATATGGTGACCCGCGGAAAATATGGTGGCCCTGTAGCTCCCCTCCTCCCATGCCTACCTGGCAAATATCCCTGAGAGCAGCCTCCCCTTTGGTCAGTTTGGGCCAGGTCCTGACCCCTGATTTTTCCTAAAGCAGCCCTTAACACAAATTGTTGTCACATTTGTCTCCTCTGCCCGGCCACACCTACCCACCACCCACTGAATCCTCCATTGGCTGGGCGTGACCTGGAAGGCCCCACTTGGCCACAGGGTTTATCTCCTTAAGTGACCTCATGGATGCACCATCACACCCCTCTGCTCCCAAGCTACGCTCAAGTGTCTGCCGGGGCCGGTGGCTCATGAACTCCGAGCAGCGCAAGCCCTGGCTGGCGGGGGCGGTTTCCGCGCGCTGACCGGGCTGGGCCAGCCGGCCAGTGGGCCCGAGGGGCCCTGCCAGGCTGACCGCACGCCGGAGCCCCTCCCCCGCCGCCAACGCCGCCGAAGGCCCCGGCGAGTCACCCTCCCTCATGCCCGGGAGACTCCCCCGAGGCCGTAAAGGGGAGAAGGTAAATACAGTGCCCGCGATCGTCATCCGAGGACTTATCCTGCGGGTGGACCAGGTCACGGGGAAGGAGCTGTGCCCTCCAGGGCCGGGAGGAAGGTCGCTTCCGGTGAGGGGAGGGGGCGGTGGCCGCAGACCATCAGGGCCTCCCTCAGCATCCGGCCACGGAGGTCCGGAGACAGGGGTCCGTGGGCGCGGGAGGCCCGGGAAAGCTTCTCGAAGCCTATTTCTG